GGGTTTAGGGTTTAGGGGGACTGAATGAATGAAACCCAATTTCACTTTGATTATTTTTTTATGGTCCAGAACTTATATTTGTACAGTTGAAGTATTGGGTCTGATTTTTCGAAAGGTGGGGCTAAGGTCTTAGGAGGTATTGGTTTTGTGGCTAGCTGTCAAACCAAATCCTTTTGGATATAACCCTCCCGCAACTAAGACTTAAAAAAACCCCTGCGACCTGAGCTGAGAGATTCGAGATGGCAAAGCGAACGACCTCCTGCACCGGGCGGTTTTAAGTGCTTAGCTTGAGGCTAGGAGGGTTGGTGTGGGTTGGTTTCCGACGACATAGAAGAGATTACAGACTATAGTGACAATATAGATCTAGTCGATTCGCGAATAATAAACTAATTTCTCTGGGCTTGTTGGACCATTTAAGCTTTGACCTAGATGCCCGGGTGATTCTAAATTACATTTTACTAAATGGTGTGTTTGGACTTCGTCCTAGACTTGGGTTTCGAGCTTTGGTTTCGGCCACAGGCTTTACTTACTAATGATTGTTGTTTTGCTTTTCTGTAGGTTCTGGGATTGGAGCTGAATTAATACTTAAAGCGATGCATCTCCGAACGACGGCAACTGAAGCATGAAAGGAACCTGGATGAATCCCCCGTGCAATGCATAAGTTGCTCCTGTACGAACTAGATCAACCCAAAGTCTAGACTAGACCCTCGCAAGCTAGATCCACAACTGACAAATCAAGAAATCCCGGAGCCATTGCTATATTCAAACAATCCCGGAGCCATTGTTATATATTAAATTAAATCCCGGCCAACCCAAATGCCTTCTTGGCGACCTCGAACGGCAACTGCCCAGCTGGATCTCGAACGGCCACGACCTGCCACGCAAAGGAAGGAGTGAAGCTCAAAGCAGACAGGGACATGCACAGGCACTTGCATCCACGGACGGCTCCTTTTTTTCCGTTTCGGCGGTCCGGGCGGCTGTCGCCCGATCCGCAAAAAAGGAGCATTGCCGATGCTCCTCAGCCCGTCGAACGACACGGGCAGCTGGGTTCATAGATGGCCTCAGATGAATGACATGTTGAACTCTTCACGCTGATATGTTCACTCCTTCGAATCTAGCTTAACTTTAAATAACTCAGTCAGTCAAGGCACCGGTGGGCGAACGGCGAACGTCCTAGCGGCGATCGTGGTACCGAGGACGGCGAGGTTCCTGGCACAAGTGGAACTAACAATGTTTTTCAGTACACTACCAGGTCACTACCAAGCACTATTGCAGCCGGTCTGCAGGCTCATCGACCCACCGGGGTGGCGGGCGACCCGGGTGGCCAGGGTCCGAGAGGCGGTCCCGGTCGTCGTAGTAGATGCCACGGCGATCGTCACGGCGATCGTCA